GGGGGAGGGGCTGCTAAAAGACTAGGGTCTGGGGGCGCCTGGGTAGCACAGGTAGTTAAGTGTCCGACTCTTGGTTTTGGCTCAGGTCTCACAGTCTGTGAGTTCAAGCCCCGCATCAGGTTCCACACTGACACTGCGGAGCCTGCTTGGGGTTCTCTCTCTCCCTCTCTCCCTGCCCCTCCCCGCTCACTCTGTCTCTCAAAATAAATGCACTTCAAAAAAATTTTTTAATTAAAAATAAAAAACTAGGATCTGATGCAATTAGAAGTAAAGATATAGGGTGAGCTGATGCCAATCTTTCAAGGTGCTTCAAGTAGCTTTCTCGGGGAGGGGAACAGGATGCAAATGCTCTAAAATTAGATAGTGGTGATGGCTGAAACAGTTTTGTGAATATACCCAAAATCACTGAATTGCGCCTCAAAGGGATGAACTTTGGGGCACCTGGGTGGCTCAGTAGGTTAAGGGTCTAACTTCGGCTCGGGTCATGATCTCATGGCTTACGAGTTCAAGCCCCACGTTGGGCTCTGTGCTGACACCTCAGAGCCCGTAAGCTGCTTCGGGTTCCGTCTCTGTCTCTCTCTGCTCTCCCCCACTCGTGCTCTGTCTCTCTCTCAAAAGTAAATAACAAGACATTTAAAAAAATTAGGAGCACCTGGGTGGCTCAGTCGCTTAAGCATCCGACTTTGGCTCAGGTCATAATCTCATAGCTCGTGGGTTTGAGTCCTGTGTCGGGCTTTGTGCTGACAGCTCAGAGCCTGGAGCCTGCTTCCGATTCTGTGTCTCCCTCTCTCACTGCCCGTCCCCCACTCACCCTCTGTCTCTCTCTCTCTCTCAAAAATAAACAAACATTTAGGGAAAAAAATTTAAAGGGATGAATTTTATAGTAAGTGAATTCTATCCCAATTTTCTTTTAAAAAGCTGACGAGAGGGGCACCTGGGTGGCTCAGTCGGTTAAGCGTCCGACTTCGGCTCAGGTCACGATCTCACAGTTTGTGAGTTCGAGCCCCGCGTCGGGATCTGTGCTGACAGCTCAGAGCCTGGAGCCTGCTTTGAATTCTGTGTCTCCCTCTCTCTCTGCCCTTTCCCTCCTTGCTCATGCTCTGTGTCTGTCTGTCTCTCAATAATAAATAAGTGTTAAAAAAATCTTTTTTAATTAATAAAGAAAGAAAAAGCTGACAAGGGCAGGAGTAGAGGAGTGGAGGGAGGCAGGGGAATGAAGGCCAAGCAGTACTAAGATTATTCTAGGCCTTCAGCTTCTGGCCTTCCATTGCTTTTCCCACATGCAGAAGCCGGGGCCCACGGAAACCGGCCCCGCTCAGTTGGCGCACTCCTTTCTGGCGCACCCACTCTGGACGCCGAGAATACCCAGGAGGCTGTGTTTCTACCTCCTGATCTGCTGCTCACACAAGAGACGGGTAAAGCCGGTGAGTTTCCCACCTGCCATGGGCCGAAAGGAGGAAGAAGCAGCAAATGAGACGGAGCCAAAAGACTTTGGGGAACAGGACACTCCGACTTCAGAAAGGAATCCCAAGAGGGGAGACTGAGGCACAGAAGCCAAGAAAGAAAATCATGAAAAAGATGGGACAGACGGTTCCAGGAGCCTGGCGGTGGTGAGACGGGCAACCAAGAAATCTAATGCCCTTTGAGAAAACTGAAGGCATTCAAGATGCCAGATGGAACCAAGGCTAAGGGGAGGAAGACTGAGGCAACCTCAAGGGTAAGTGGGGGACGGGGGGCGCCTGGTGGCTCAGTCAGTTAAGCATCTGGCTCTCGATTTCGGCTCAGGTCATGATCTCACGGGTTTGTAGGATGGAGCCCCACATAGAGCTCTGTGCTGACAGCAGGGAGCCTGCTTGGGATTCTCTCTCTGCCTCTCACCCGCTCATGATTGCACGCATGCACTCTCCAAGTGGAGGAATAAACTCAAAGAAGAAAAAAAGAACATTGCTTAAAGAGTATATTGGTTTTGTCTCCTACAACACAATTTATATATATAAAATCCAAGTCATGAGATATGATACCGGTATATGATGTTCATGGCTACGTGCAGTAAAAATGTAACTAGCAAGCTTGAGGGGGCGCCTGGGTGGCTCGGTCAGTTAAGTGGCTGACTTCCGTTCAGGTCATGATCTGGCGGACCGGGAGCTCGAGCCCCGGGTCGGGCTCTGTGCTGACAGCTCGGAGCCTGGAGCCTGCTTCCGATTCTGTCTCCTTCTCTCTGTCTCTCTCTCTCAAAAATAAACA